GCAATCGTAAGAAATTGGGATGCACTATAGCGTTGTCGCTGATAAGCCTGTAGGCAGACATTTGTGGCTGTCAAACCACAAGAATTTGGTAGGTCTGCCCGCAGATCCGAATCGGTCACCACTGGAAAGCCAGATGTGATCTGGCGGGGTCGGCGCGTAAAAGACGAACGCCGCCGACGTGGCAGAGAAGGTTGTCGGTAAGACAAAGATCCCCGCAGATTAGCCTCAACACGACGTCGAGAGGAAGGGGGACTGGGAGGAGGAGTACATGTACACAGCGTCCTGATGAGTCAGTGAAGCTCCGACGGAACAGTCTGTCACAGCTCCTTGTTTGTTGTCCTCTTCTCCCTCTCACGGGGCAATTGTTTAGGAACTTAATACTGATGACGATAAGTACATAATATAATAATACTATCGTCACATGAATATCAGAGCGCAAAAGCGGGGGAAAAAAAAAAGAAAAAAAAAATGAATTCATTTTTTTATCTTCTTCCTTACAACTCCGCCTGTTCAGAACCTCTTGCGTACAAGTACAAGGCCGCCCACGTGGATGTAGGTTGAGCGGCGGCTGCCCCCGCCCCCGTGTGTCATATCGACCCACTTGCACACAGCCAAAGGGCAACGAGGCAAAGAAGAGAGGAAGGAAACAGCCAAATACAACAAAACAGGGGGCACTAAGCAACAGCACAAAAAACGGATCCTAGATGACGAGTCCCACATGCAAGCACCGCCCCAGTCCTACACAGGCCAAACGATTGGACAAGACCACCCAGGACAAAGCACTCTTGTCTGCAAAAACAGGAATCCCAGATACATATCTAAACATAAAGGACAATCCCAGATGATGATTCCCAAATAGAAGCACCGCCCCCTCACACAGGCCGAACAACGGGAAGCAACCAACCAGGATGCCAAAACAATAAGAGAAAACCGGGAGGACTGGTCCCACGTGAAAGCACCGCTACGCCCATGAAATAGACCGAACAACGGGACAAAACCAACCGGGATGCAGCAGACAAGGATACCAAAACAAATTCTACAACTACAATATCCATAGTTAAAAAAACGGAAACATACTATATACAGTTACATAATAAAGTACCGTCTTTTGAAAAGAAAAAAAAAACATCATGAAGTACCATACTTAAACACAGTTTCTTATGCCATCTACCCTGAATGCTGAAGGGTATCGTCTCTGCCAGCAGTCGTGGTGGCTGGTGCGTCAAGGACTCTGTTTGATCACTCCGGGCATACTCGCAGTAGGACTTTTTTTACCTATTTCTGGACGGGATTGCGGTCAGATACATCCAGATCGGGCCGTAAATGTGGCGAGTTACATGAAGATAATGCTCGTGTGAGTCCGCCCTCCGTTATCGTCTGCATCCTATCTGAATCATTCCAGGCATAACCGCTGCGAAGGTGGCACTTAGCCCTTAAACGTTTCTACGCATACTCCCATAGGCTCGCTTCTTTCTGTCCTCGCTTAAACCCTTAACCCTTCTACCCTGGACGTGATTGCGGCCAGACACATCCAGATCCGGCCGTAAATGTGGCGAGTTTGGTATGCCGCTTCTCTCTGTCCTTCTCTGAACTGAATCCTTCTACCCGCAGGGCCTCGCCTCACCACTTCCGAAAGGTAAAAAGAACGAATGAATCTTCCCCACAACGTGGTAAGATGCACCCGTTGCTATTCATCGCAACGGATGCATCTTGCCATTCTCTGCGGGAAGATGCACTCCTACTTCTTTTTGTTTCTACAGTGGTGTGGCGAGGCCCGGACCCGCAAATGCACACTAAGAAAATAAAAAAAAATAAAAAAAGGAAAAGGAAAGGAAAAAAGTAGAAACGAAAAAAAAGTAGAAACGAAAGTCCTGCACCGTCTTTGTACATACATCGTCGTCACAATATATCGTCAAACAGAGCTGTGCCTACGGTAAACCGTAGTAAGCAGAGAGGAGAGGGACAAGAGGGAGAAGAAGACAACAAAAGAGGGTCTGTGACAAACTGTTTCGTCGGAGTTTTCACCTACTCATCAATCCGTAGAGGCTGAACCCTCAAAAACAGTCTGCAGAATCCCCCGACTGATTAGCACACTGTAAGTGATAAACCACCTTAACCCCGGTTGTGGTTAAACATCAACGACTGCCCGACAACTGATACCCCTCTGAGGTGGTGGGGACCACCAACCACTGCCCTCAATAAATCCTCACACATACACACAGATATATCCACATTGCGAGGGGGAGAGGGTGGCAACAGCGGATTGCCTGGCTCTCTCTCTCTCTCTCTCTCTCTCTCTCTCTCTCTCTCTCTCTCTCTCTCTCTCTCTCTCTCTC